CGTGGGCAGGGCCGGTGCCCAGCAGCAGGTGCCCGGCCAGGTGCACTGGGCTGTAGGTGGCGGGGCCCAGCAGGAGCCGCACCCACTGGCCTCCCAGAGGAAGAGGGTCCAGTTCGCCACCTTCCCGGCCATCCCAGTCCCGCCGGTGGGCGGCTCTGCCGTGGCCACCTCCATTCTGGGGGTGCACTAAGGTGGTGTGTCCCCCAAGAGCTCAGACTCTCTGGAAAGGTGCCCAGAGCCTTGAGAACCCTCAGCGGGTCCAGGGCAGAGGCCAGGGCGGGGCCACAGCTGTGGATGCCGGCATGGCACCTTCATAGGACACTTTGCAAAGCAGCATCCTTGGATATCGGGTGCGGACAGAGATGGGGTGCAGAGACGCTGTGCCCCACACAGCAAATTAGGAGGGGCATTTTACGAATCAACCTGTCATACAGCTACCAAAAATTATTTGTTAAAAAACACAAAAAAAGACGAATAAAAAGAGACAAAGAATGATTTGTTTATATTTCTAATAAAGGAGCAAACTATAAAAGTAGGGCCTGCTTGGAGACATTTTCCATTTAATTCAGTGTCCACTGTTCCCAGGCGGCCTTTAGGGACAGGACTAAAAAGAAGTTTCCATTTTCACCGGATAACCTCTCCCCATTTCCTCCTGCTGTGTCCTAGGGTTCATTTGGTTTATGTTTAAGGTTAATTTCTGAGGACCGAGTGGTATATTTTTCCCAGACAAGACACAAATTCTATTCTATTCCTTAGATGATTTTTTTTTCTAGAAACAGTGCCAATTCACCATTAAGTTGTGACCTTAAAGCTTTTCTATGTCTTGCCAGATTTTTTGGTATTTGGTGGCATTTGCACTTGGAGACAGTGACCCCACCCTGCACCCCACAAGGCCAAGGTCAGTGGGAAGGGCCTGGCCAGGCTGCCACTTGGGGTGCGGCCAGCAGATCGGAGCCCAGCTCGGCTCCCCCGTCCCTGGGTGTCCAGGGCCCCGAGTGCTTGTGGCGTGGTTGACTCCCAGAGGGACGGCGCCCAGAGGCAGCCCCAGCCTGGTGAGTGGACAGTACACAGAAGTCTCCGGTGCTTGGGGGTTTGGGGGCTTTACTTTCTCTGAGGGCACAGGCACTGCACAGACGCAGAAGTCAGAATCTGCAAAGCGGCAGTCGGCTGTCTGTGAACAGCAACACCGCGCAGCAGGCTGTTGCAAGAGCACTGTCCTGGATGTGACGGGTGTGGGACGGGGACCTGGGCACGTCCCCCGGGCCCGGCAGGAGGGCCTTGCAAGGACTCCAGTGACAGTCATTGTTTTTATTATTTCTATCCCTAAAGTCACTGGCTAAACCAAGGTCCCCTTGTCATCTTGGCTGGGCTTGTGGAGAGTGCATTTGTTGTACCTGTTCTGGCTGCAGAGCAGACTCTTACTACACCAGTGATGCCCGCGGTCGTTAAAATGCTTCTGTGGCTGACACGTGTCCTGGGGTGTCTCTCCCATCCTCGGTCCAGTCCCTCCCAACACAGTCTCAGGCTGGAGGGGAGACAGCGCTGGTTCCCACTGCGCCTGGGTGGGGTCCTGAGGGGGAAACTGAGCCGCTGCCACTGCCCGTGTGAGCGCTCAGTCTCTGCGCACGTGGTGGAGACGGCACCGGTCCCACTGGACCGGGCGAGGTCCCTCAGTAGCTCCCCACAGGTGATGGTGTGGCTGGTGTGGGGAGCAGTGTGGGGCAGAGGTAAGAAGTTTGATTTTTGTCCTCTAACAGTTTTACTGCAACATCACTCATAAAATCAATCCATGGATGCCAGACACAGTGGCCGTGCCTGTTATCCCAGCCCTCCAGGAGGCTGAGGCAGGAGGATCACAAGCTCGAGCTCTGTAGAGACAACTCAGTGAGATCCTGTCTCAGAATGAAATTGTGAGAAAGGGCTATGGAAGGCCCTGGGCTCGATCCCCAGTGCTGCCAAAACAGAAACAAGAGACCCTTGGACAATATCCAGCTCGCTGTTTTCAGTCATTCGCAGAGGGGTGCACCCTGGGTCACAGCACCTGTGGCATCCCACGGAGAAACCCTGCACCCCAAGCTGCCTGCCCCATCCACTCCCCACCGCCCAACAGCAGCTCCTTCTCCCATCCCTGCCCTGAAGGGCCGCTGTGCTGTGCACCCCGCTATGGCCTCACCCCTGCCCAGGGTCCACATTGCAACCCTTCTGTCCTTCCAGCCAGCCCGGCATCTGTAGCTCACAGGAGACCTGGGTGGGTGTGGTTTGGCCCCATGTGCACCCCTTTCTGGCCAGCTCCCCTTTTCCTGGGAAGACTGGGGCTCCGGGTGGAGGGATCAGAGGCCTGGCAGCTCTAACATTGGCTGCATTTTCCATATCGAGCAAACATGAGGCTGATCAGAGCCTAAGTGACTGCTTGAGCTTTTAAAATGTATTGCAGTAAAAGATGAGTCCCTCTCAAAATCCTCCCTCTGGCTTCCAACACGCTTGTCCCACCGTTCTTGCACTTTCTGAAGCAGCTCTGGAGTCCTCTTTTTGAGTGTCTTTGCGAGGGGTGGTCGAAAACATAGTGCTGCTGCCGCCGGGCGCTGCCCAGCGGGAAGCGGGTGCATAAACCACTATTGTGATTCCCGTGCACCCACGCACTGGGTCTGGCACCGAGTTCTGGCTCTTCCTCAGAGTCCAAATGACCATGGAAAAGGGCCAGGGATTTAACTCAGTGGTTCTGCCGCCTGCCTCAAGCACAAGGTCCTGAGTTCGATCCCTGGTATAAAAAAGAAAAAAAATACCATGAAAAGGAAATGTTTTGAATCTGTTCAGGACATCAAGGCAGCCAGGACAGCGCAACTACAGAGACACTCAGGAAAGAGGTCTCCAGAGCTGCTTCGCGGGAAGTCTCCCAAGGCTGCAGTCTTAATTCTCTGGTGATCAACAGCCTGCGTGTATGCACTGTGTTACAACGGAATGTGGTTGTTGGGCGTGGTGGTTCACAACTGTAAACCCAGCATTTGGGAGGCTGAGGCAGGAGGATCACGAGTTCGAGGACAGCCTGGATTACACAGTGAGACACTGTCTCAAAAAAACAAAACAAAACAAAATGCAAGTAGAATGCAATTGACATAAAAGCGATTCACATTTATTTCACAAAATTTAGAACATGAAAAAAGAAAAGCAGGACAGATAAGGAAGGAACATTAAAAAAGAACTCCCAGAAATAAAGATGAAAACTTCCTCTTACACACCCTTTGGTGTTTACTTGATCTGCCTGCCCATCTCGTATTTTGAATGCATTATTACAAATACGACTTTTAAAAGCAGCCTGTGTTAGTCGCAGACATGGCCTCTGTGGCACTTTGACCATACTAACAGGCTTCCACTCCAGGACCGCTGCTTCTCCCAGGGAAATCACGGGAGGTCGGGGTGGGCACAGCACGTGGGAAATTGCACCGCCCGGGACGGAGGCAGCAGGGTCCCGACCAGAAGGCTAGGAGCTGCAGGCCCAGGGGCTCCATCCACGTGGGCACAAAGCCGGGCCTCTGTGTCCCACCTGGGCAGCTGCTGCCCTGGGACCCAAGCCACCTCGGCAAGAGGCACTGGTGCTGAGGCGGAAGCAGGGGCTCAGGGTGGGCCCAATCACGGGTGTGTGTGCGTGTGTGTGTGTGTGTGTGTGTGTGTGTCACGGACAGAAGTCGTGACCAGGACTGTGTAGGTGGAGAGGAAAGGAAGCCTGGAGCAGAGGGCCGGGGCACAGGATGGCTAAGGAGGAAGGGGAGGAAGGGGGCGGGGAGGAGGGGGAGCGGCGTGGGAAGGGGCGGAGTTCTCCCTGCCCCGGTATCACGTGCTTTGCGAGAATATGAGATTCCATTTCCCAGAGTCAGGCAGATTATGACATCTTTTCAATTTATTTCCCACAGACCAAAATGTTCTGTCCAGAAAACCATTTTTCTTTTTCCTCTCAAAGAGGGCATTTGGGTGGAAAGAAATTACCAGGCTGTGGAATTTCACTGATTTTTTGAAATCCAGGTCACATCAGAGGTCATGATTTCCATTTTCTCCTATCTATGCCGTCTTCCGAGAGGAGACTTGGGCCACTTTGACCTGGGGGACACACGATAGGGCTAGAGTCCCTTCGGCCCCGGGAAGTGGCCACTGTGTGGAAGTGATGGTGGTGTGAGCCCGGACGGGTTGGACGAGCATACAGTCACTCGACAAACACTCGCAGGAATGAGCTGTGCCAGGGACGCCTGTGGGCGTGGCTGGGATGACACAGGCCAGGGTGGGGTCCTCACTCCTGTAGATCTCATGCCCGCTGGGGGTGCAATACGATGTGACACCAGTGCAGGAGGAGGAGGGGAAGGGGTCCCAGCGACCTGAGGGGCGGCCGCCCTCTGCATGCTAGAGGAGCCGGGGCCCAGGGGCAGCATCATGGGAGACCGGCGGCCCCTGGTGGGCAGCGCTGTCCTGTCCTGTGGCCACAGGGAGATGAGTGGCACCCAAAACCGCAGTATCAGAAATAAGAAGCACGGGGTCACTTACAGTCCGTGGGTCACTCTCCGGGAGGCAGAGTGGAGCAGCTCTCTGGGCAGCTGGGACCTGGGTGGGGATCGGGCTGGAGACCCAGCCTCCCGACCACACTGCTGCAGCCCAGAGGCCACGATGGCGACTCTGTCCCCCTCCAGCTGCTGCATCTGTGCTCGGGTGTCCTTCAGTGCTGTCCCACGTGGGTCCTCACGCGGGCGGGTTCCATGCACCCCAGGCCACCTGCAGCCACTCACTCTCCAAGTCTGACTGCAACTCGGCCGGGCTCTTCACCGCCTCCACTCCTCCTGTGAGGACCCTGGGCCTCGGGTTTCGGACCCAGCTGACCCAGTGCGGCTAACTGGTTACCTCAATTACACCTGCAAAGGAACCAGACTTTTGGTGCAGACCGGAAACTCTGAATCTTTTGATCCATCAGGAAAGGTTTTCCATCAGCAGCGACAGCTTTTTCTGCACTTCCCTCCTGCAGGAAATTCTCCCTCTTTCAGAAACCGCTAGAAACGCGCGTCCCCATCAATGTCTCGGCAGATTTTCCTTCTTTCTGTCTGAGTTCTGAAAGTGACTAATCCAGCAGTGGAGCAGGCGGTGCTCACGGCCTCACACCAGTGGTGCCCGCAGCAGTTACTGCTGTCCACGTGGCCTGGGCCGGTGACCAGCAGAGCACAGCACGACCTGGTGTGGCGCAAAGCTGCGGAGCCTATGAGGTCTGAGAGCCGCAGAGGCCGCTCAGCAGGGACAGACCATGAGCTTCGGTGCCCTGTACCAGGGTCCCCGTGGGACCCCATCCCAGGTGGCTCTCATCCCCTGCACCTCACAACTTCCCTGCCCAAGGCTCCCGAGATGCCCATGCTGAAGCAGAGTGCAGTGAACAAAGCGGCTGCCACAGGGCGTGGGGTGGTGCCTGGCCGGTGTGTCCCCGCGAGGGCAGCGGACACAGACAGGGACAATGGCA